GTTTTTTATGTGTTACCACGTGTTTTGGCCTCATGTATTAAATACTTCAGGCTTAGAAAAGCATGTATTTCGGGGATTGACAGTCCTAAATGTGTTGCAATTTATGAGGAGAAATTAGAAAAAGGTGAAACATCTGTATGATGTGTCCAATTATATTTGTTGTAGAACCTACCGAAAAGATTTTTTGTTGGCAGAAAACCACTACGTAAATCTCATGGTTGTGAAAATCTAGATAATTTCTTGCGTTATTGCTTATTTCTGCCACTCCGCGATCCTGAGTAGACTGCAAAGTGCAAGATGAGTTTTGTTGTGTTTAGAAACTTGAGTATCTGCCACCATTATCGAAAAATAAACTCTTTACTATGATATAAAGTTTGTTGTTGCGATAGTCCGCTTTTCAAGATTTATTGCAATACAAACAAATTAAATGACCACAGAACCCTCTACATTATAAGAATTTGTTGCACACATTTTCATAAAGCGGTATCAAATTGAAAAACATTATATTATTTAAAGCGAAATCTTGAGAATGAGGTGGGATTTGAAGGTTGGTATATTTAAACGTTCACTGATTGTTCTGATGCTTAATTCATTCAGATTATTTTATTTTCAGATTTCAAATTTATACAAGATTTCCATAAATATTCGAGGAATATCTTTCCATGTATATGGAAACGTCTGACTTTTCTTGAACTTTAAATGAATAGCCCATTTCAGATTTCTAACCACTTACTGAAAAAAAAATAAAAAAAACTTTCGCGGACAAAAATTTACTTAAAATTATATTTAAGACGCCAAAACAAAATAGAAAATTTTTCGAAGAAACTGACACAGTTTCAGTTAGGCTCTGAAGAAGTCCGTAGGATGATTGACGTAACGTCAGCAAGTTCGATTTATCAATAACCGACGCAGGAGGAATCCAGAAGCTTTGTAAATAGTAAAATAGAAAATTTCAACCGAAAAAATGGGCAATCTCTTCCGAAAAATTATTCTGCTGTGTTTTACGTATACAAGTTTCAGAAACAACGGGAACTCGAAGGTACAAATAAAAAAAAGAATTAGAACTTCCAAACAAACAACTAATAAATTATTCAATAAAGTTATTTTTAAACAAAAAATCAAAAATGTGAAATATTCTGTCTGCTTGTTTTGGTACATGCGGATGCGACGAGTTTTTTTATTCATCTGCATCGCAACAATAAGAAAAAAGAAGCTTTTAACGCAGATATCTATCGACAGTTCAAAATGTCCAGTGCCTATTACAAAAATGTACCTCACAAGTGCCGTATTCAGTTAGTCAAAATCTCTAATACAGCTTTTTCGCTGTCAATTTCCATTGTGCATGGGAGTTAATTGCTTGAACTATGACAGGATTTTTCGAGAGAAATATTGCGCATATTCAGGCGACATGTTATGCCGAGAATTTTATTGCTGCATTTAAAAATTGAAGCTACATTACGCAATGAATTTCTTTTCTTGTAGTGTTGTCATGTTTAATTGAAATTAATATACAGAGCGCTACATATAAAAATCACATTTTTAATTTTGCTGTGTATAGATGCAAAAGCAACGTGCAAAATCAGAATCGAGTATTTTTGAATTTACAAATATTAGAGTAGCTGCAGTGGCTTAAGTATATAAAAAAAGCCATTATCGGTTTTTATTAAGTATTTTATCTTAGAACTTTCGATCCAAGAACGATTAAGTTCATTAAAATGCTACAGCCGCCTCGTCTTCATCGTTTTTTGAGGTTTGTGGTCTGGAAACTGATTTACCCACTTCTCCAATAGCGTTAGCATTGTTCTTTAGGAAAGGATATCTTTAGGAAAAGAAATCTAGACTTGAGGGAACGACACACTTGCGATTTGATATATAGTCTTGATTCACTGTTTAAATTGCTGAACTTTCGAAGAAAAGCTCGATTAATTTACTCAATTCAAACTTAGAAACAGTTTATACCTATAACTATAGGTGCATTTGGTTTATAACTGCATTTGTATGTGCTTTGGTTTACATATGGCATTAGGCTCCTAACTTCTAGTCTCATACGATTTTTTTATTTATAAAAAAGTAGCTTTTTCTACTCCTTCCTGTAAAATACCTAATTATACACCGATATAGCGTCCCCAAAAACTAACAGTCGTAGTCACATCAATTATATATTCTTCTTGATAATATAAATAGTCGATTGAAACGAAAGGATTTTGAAGCATGGGATAAACAGTGAGTACATGATACATCTACAGGAACATTTTTAGTTCTTTTACTTTCATAACACTTACAAATTGTTTGGTTGTTTTTCTTACTGCCTATATCCAGAGAACAAACTGCTTTATTTGGATTTAAGTTGCGCACGGAAGAGACAAAAAGGAAACAGAAAGAAATTTAATTAAAAAATTCTTTAAGCTGCCTACCAAAATATAGAAGCAACGAGCGGAAAATCTCGATACAAATATTTCAGCGCATTGGTGAATAAATTCTTTTTCCAAGTCGATAACAAAATATTTTAAGCGCTTGATATTGCAGAGAAACATCCAAATTGTCCCGACATTTCCTGAAACGGATGCAAATACTCCGGAATGGTATTTAAATACTGTATAAAAGTGCAAACGATAACAGAAACAGACATTTTAGCATTTTAAATGAACGGCAACAGGCTTAAACAATGCAAAATTGAATTTCAAATTCGGAACCACAATATTAGAACGAACGTAACCGCCGCCACATTTATTCTAACAAAGCTCTCTGTAGGAGCGTTATTGCTTGTTCAAAATCTGATTTAATGCAACTGTTTAGACTCATTGAGTTTGAAAATTGCATCTGCATTGACCCAGCTTGCACAACGTTGTTAGAGGCGTTTAATTAAAGTTACCGACGTTCGTAGTTACACATTGCCAAAAAAGGGGCTTATCTAATTTAATACCTATCCACTTTTGCTCTAATATATTAAAGACATTCTATAATCCACAAGTCTATAGATGGTTGTCAAAATGTGCATAACTTACCCTGTATGTTTTTTACAAAAATTACCATAATGTACAATTTATTATACACTAAAAAAGGTGATATTTTTTCTCATCTGAGCGATTTTAGAGAATGCTGGAAGAATAATGATAAGTCTGATATTATTCGTATTTTAGACAGATGAATAACTAAAGCTTTTTTTCATTGATCAGCAAATATAGGTTTTTGTAAACAAAAATTTATTGTAAGTTTGATGTTCGGTAATATATGGGGAACACATCCACCCCTACAACTTTAGTTTTAATATTATTTATTATTTTTAATATTTCGATTTCCTCAACACCCAAGGAGAAATTAAGGCTTGAAGCATATTTGTTTCTTCGATAATACTAAATTAATTCATTATCCGCCAAGAGATTAGGTGTGCTATTAATGAAGTGTTTGTTTATATTTGCAATACACAATGACTCTTGTGGCAACAAATCACTACTTCAACCTTTAACTAAATCCAACCATTTTAGTGCTCCCCAAAGTGCCTTCTGAGTTTCTTGATTTAGTTAACTACAATAGTAAATTTTATTTCAAGCTTTATTGTCATGTTCACCGTATTACGCAACTCTTTATAACAAATCCAATTGGCCGGGTTTTTATTCTTTTTAAATTTAGCGAAATATTTATTCCTTGAGCGTGTCCTTGTCTACCGTTAACGCAACTACGTTATCAAGATATCACATTTTTTCTTCTTGCTTGATAGCATGACGGATATTTGTCGGCCAGTTGTCAGTCACTCTGCAACATATTTCAACATTTCATTGTGTCGGAAAATCTAATAAAATCTAAGACATTTAAAACAATGAACTTTTCGTTCATTGATGACGAAACGAACGAAATTTTGCTAATTTGGATGTTACGGTTGACATTACTATAGATTAACAGCCCGTTTCTAGCATAATCATCGAGCTGGTGATGAATTAGCATTTTATCACAATTAAAAACGCTATCAAACGTTAATACGTGCAATCATGGTTGAGATTGAAAAAATATTTTTTTCTTCCCTTCTGTTCTTCTACGTACGTCAGTTAGAAATCCTGAGTGGAATCTCGGATTCTTTTGTTCTAAAATTAGCTTAGTGTAATGCGCTACGAACATGTGGAACAACTCTTTATAATCATTTTTTAGATACTGTGGTATTTTTAGAAAAATCAAAAAGAAGCCAGTTACAACATGATAGACATGTCAAAAAATATTTTTATATGTTTCTGTGCAGCGATCGTCGAAAGCAAGACAATTTTCGTTTTTACATAAGAAGTTCACAATTTACTTTGACCAATGCGTTAGTGTTAATTACATTATTTAGTAAAAATGTTCCGCTAAAAGATCTACCGACTAAAAGAGCTACTGAAAATTCTGTATTTCTTTCTCGTTCACTGTACTTTTCGCAATCAAAACGCTTGCTTTGTGCTTGTTAAAAAAATGATGGCCACCTAACTTAACGAAATATAGTGTGATCAGCTATAATAGAAAAACGTTATTTATTTACGTGGTATAATGATTTCAGTCATCACGATGTCGTTATAGTGAAGTGGATTACTGTACATTTTCTAATAATGCAATGATTTAGATAAAATCCTAGAAAAAAATCGGATTATAAAAAGCAAACGCATCCTCGAAGCGGACTCATTTAATGAATGGGTTACACGTTTGTATATAAAAAATTACGTTATAGAGGAAACCTTTTTAAGTTTTTATTAAACTCATAATTTTATGGCATAAATTAACAAGCAGCTTCCAGTTCACCCAAAATAGTGTCTTTAACAAAAACACCAAAGAGTTTTAAACTATATGGTGTACTTGAAAACAAAGTTTGAAGTATAAAAAAAATTCAAAAGTGTTTACTACGAAGGATCGATCCATAAAAGCGAAAATCCATTTTGTCCAAATTGACTTCGAAGAATGTTTATTATGAAAAAGGCATGAATTTTCCAGGAACAACAAGAATTCCTGGCAACATTGCGGTTCCCGTTCAAAGGACTTACCGCGAGTTTGGGGATGATTTTCTATAGGAACTGGAATAAAACGCCCACTCACCTGCAACATAACAGAACGCGTTGTTAGCTGATTAACACAGTTAATGATTTGATTATCTAATAATTTTTTAAACAGAATGAATATACATAGATACTGCTTGTCAGCCAACCGACAACCGACGAAGTCTTCATATTCAAGATTTTAATATACTAATTAAGCATTTTTACAGAACTTTTGTAACCGTTTTTTTTTAGAAACTAATATAATGTAAAACTTTCTATTCTACAGACATTTATGTGACACCGAACGGACTGGATCCGGCCCTGTCAACGAGCAAAAAAGGAAAACACTCTGGAGGCAGCCATTTAAGAGACGACCGGAATATTCGACACCCATGCGAGGAGGCACAGCGAAATATAAAATCGAGCCAGTAGAGCCATGGAAATCTAAATAATCGACCGATAAGTTTCCCGCCGAGTGACTTGTTTAATTTCACCGTCAACAAATCAAATTTATTTAAACTTTAACTTTTTTAATTTTGTTCCCATTTTTTGGGCAGATCGTCACGACTTCGTTACAAAAAGCCCAAATTTTGTAGCCTTATGTCAGTTTAGAAATTAATGACAGATGTTACTTTCAATTTGTACACCCTACATCGTTTTTATCAACAACTTTCGGTCTAAACTAAACATTTCATATAACGGCCCATTTTTTGCTTGAGTAGCTGTATTTTTTAATTGAAAATGAAAAGTTTATTATGACTTGATTCTGAAATACGATTCTCCGGGTATATCCGACTTCCGCAAAAACGCCAACGATAATAAAAGTGAGTTCAAAAGCAAACAGGAATAAAAATTATAATCAAGGGAGAAATTTCAAAGCGATGTTTGGGACGCGTCAGAATATAACCGAAGCCAGACTATTCCAATAATAAATTACAAGGCAGGGAGATTAAAAAATGGTATCGTTTCATCTCCCTCAAAAAAAATTGCTCAATTTATTCTAAACTACGGGACACGACAAAAACGTTACGCGGCAAAACAAAAGATAACGAAAACCGTCAAAAAGGCAACAAAGGCATTGTCAGCAATGCTTGGGCCTAAAGCCTTTAAAATATGGAACGCCGTGTCTGTTTATTTTGATATGCAAACAAAGCAAAAAAATCCAACCTAAGACGGTTTTTTTATGTATCGGGGTGTAAAAAATTTGTACGTCGCGTGGCGATAACAAAGCCTATATAAAAGCGTTTTTTTCTCTGTAACTGCCACACCACTCTAAATTATTACTTCTGTTATCTTGCGGACGAACGCAACGTGGAAAACGAAATAGGAATCAAAAAGATATCCTCGCCCCTTATGTTTATGGTTTTTTCGTCGACGTTTCTAAAGCAAATCGAGGTAGACGTTTTTAATGTTTGGAAATATCTTGGGGTTACTGGCGAAACGAAAGCACCAACGTGAACAACGATATGGGATATATTTTTGACATAAGAAATATAAAAACCAAGCTTAATTCTTGCAAATAAAAGAGCACTTACCGCGAAACGGGGCTACTCTAAACACGAGCGTAACTTTGAACAATTAGAATTGATAAATATGTACATGTTAACATGTACAAATCTATTAGTATTGTAATCCGCATTCAACGAAAAAAAATTAAATATAATGAAGTCATTATCAGCTGTTAAAAATTATAGCCAAACTTTTATTAACAGAATTGTATCTTAATAAACATGGTTGAAATGGTATATAAAGAGAAGTTAAGTGCCCAGAAAAAGGCTGATTCAAAAGGAAAATTACTTCACTTTTATGTCGTATATAATGCAAAAAATATGAAAAACTCTTAATAACAAATCACAGTAGAGTAATATTATCTTGATGAATAAAGTCTACTGTGCTACTGTGCTAACGTAAGTTCTTGAGTTTTTTGTTGGTTAAGGACTGGGTTGTTTGCAGAGAACCACTGCTGAAGGGCACTCACAGTCTCATAGTAAGCATTCTATGATTCCTAGCTATTGAGAGAACGGCAGTGTCATCCGCGAACAGGGTCACGTTTTCATTGGGTCTGGACAGCGGCAGATCATTTATGTAAATAATGAAGAGCAGCGGCCCCAGTACCGAGCCCTGAGGAACACCGGAGACAATGGGCCTAAAATTATTCGGAATGTGCTTGTCTCCTTTTTTATAAACGCTTGAGAACACTGCATTAGTTAAAGACGTCAGAGGGCCCAAAATGTTTTCTACGGTGTGTTTCAGTATTTTTCAATTTATGCCGAAGCAGTCAGTGGAATTTGAATTGCTCAGACTCATGATAGTGTCATGTATTTCGCTTTCTGAAACCGGACTCAAACAAAAAATGTACTGGTAGAGAATTTCTTTAGATACCTGTCCACCTCTACCACATTGGAGAAGAAGAGGTTTAACTCATTGGGCGTGATCGATACACACCCTGTATGATCATGATCGATTAAGGCCCAACAGCTTTTGTTCATGTTGGTAGATTTGGATATAATGCTGGAATAGGCCTTTGATTTAGTTTCTTTAATTGGTTTTTTGTAGTTAGAATTCGCCTCTCTGTACTTTGTCCATGTGTCGGGTGTGGAGTATATTCGACATTTAGCTTTTAGGAACAGCACATTATTTCTGAGGTTACGGTCGAACCCGGATACCGGGGAGCGAAAGGAATTGTTTTGCTCCATACCTTGATAATGCTCTTCAATATTCGCGGTGTAGACAAAGAGCAGATTGTTTGTTAAGATTGATGGGTCTTCGTTCATGTCCAACAAAGGTTCCCAATTGGTAGCTTCAAAGCTAGTGGATAGATTATTTAAACTGGTCCGTGTAATTGGTCTAAATCGAGTGAGATTTTCAAGCGCGGGACAAGAGTCTGAATGTAGTTTAAAAAACACTGCTGAATGGTCAGAGATTGCTGGATCCACACTGCCCGCAGTAAACAAAGTTGGAGATATATTGACAAGGAAATTGTCAATGCAGTTTGACGAGGTTTCAGTTACTCATGCTTGGTCACTGATTGTAGGAGAGATACCAAAGGTAGCTAGTACGTTGACAAAATTCACCGTTAAAACGTTAGTAGTCAAGTTGAATGTGATATTAAAATCACCTGTGATGATGAGTTTTCTTTTTAGGGAGTAGAAATCCCTTAAGAGAAGCTCAAGTCTAGACATAAACAAATAAGGGTCGCCGTGGCTCTTCGATCTGTATACGTTTATGACTACGGTGTTTTTGCGGATTGTCTATTCCGCAAAATTCTGCGTGAATATCTAACCTCTAAATCTAGAGATTTGCAGTTAACTTTTTACAGATCAACGTCACCGAGGTGACAAAAAACTAATTTCACTCCGCGAAATGAAAACACACAAGCACTACTTTTAAACAGCGAACTGATAAAAGAGAGACTTTTGGTAATACTTAACGCGAAGAGAAAAATGTTACTATACACTCTGCACTAATTTTGCTAAATTCAATTGCACTGTGAATGAGTGAAATATGCTAATCATTCGGACTGAAGAAAAGCACCCCATAGGGCGAATACAGTGCTCACCAATAATAATAATACTACCAGTTTAATCTTAATTTAAATATAAGGCTTTTAACTTTAACTCTGGTAAACCAGCCTAAAACATTATTGGTCTACTGGTTCCCAAGTACTTTTTACCTTACGCAAACTGAAGCCAGAACTTAAATTGTTAATTGGAAACAATTTGGGGAGACATTTCTCTCACCAGTTAGTAGAGCACGCTGTATCCAATGACATTGATTTGTTCACCTTCTAATGCCATACATATAGTTCAACTATTGGATGTAGCATGTCCCCCTCCATGAAAAAAAAAGTGAAGGACAATCTCAACAGATTTTAAAATGTTCCCCTGAAAAGTTGGTTCACATTTCCTGCATTGTGGAAGAAATGAATCGAATACAAGAATTTGACAAGGAAAACCTTCGTGAGCAGATTAAGGGCTACTGGAATATGGCGATTAAGCAGAGACATTGATTACCAAACTACCACCTTCCGCAGACCCCTTGGGTAGGAGAATGACTTTAATAACAGGGTCTCCAGCTTTTTGAAACAAGCACGATTATCAGGGAGACGAAAATATGCCAGGAAAAAGAAAGTTAATGTAGAACCCCGGTAAAAGCATAACCGTGGAGGGTTTTGAAATAGGGGAGGATCGAGTATACAGAAAACTAAGAAAAACAGAGAAGTAATGATGAATTTCAGTTGCAAAGGGAGTCCGATGATAAATTTGCTTTGCTAATTTAATACAGGAACATACTTAAAATAAATTAGATAATCAAACCGAAGGGAGTTTTATACTGGCCAAGTTTGTTACGAAAAAGGCCATAAAATATTGGAAAAATATGTGGTCCGAAATATAATGCAAAATTTCTGAAACAGAATCCTTCTGTGAACTTTAATTATCATATTCTTTTATTCGTAATTTTAACAATTATTTTAAACATTTTAAAAATAAAAACTCGTGTTAAATGCAGCCACGTTCAATTATATTCCAATTTTTCGATTTTCTTATTTTACGAATTTCGGAATTCAGACTTTTGAAATTTCTATACCCAATATAAAAAGAGAAAAACGTAAAAACGTACGCTTCTTCACAACAAACTCATTTATTAATGCATAAAAAAAACAGGAACGTGGCAAAAAAGGTACTTAAAATAAAAAGGGTGTCCGCTAATTATTGCATTTCGTCATTACAAATTGTATATTCTCTTCGTAAAAGTATTACGATTTAATCACACTTTCCTCAGTTCAAAAGTGGACAATAACCAACTTACAAAGTGTCAAAATTGTAATTTCAATATCTCAAGAATCAGCAAATATATCTAAAGAAGTCTAAGTTTATTTTTTACCTTTGGTACTCTATTTTAAAACATATACAATTTAAAAATCTTTACAAACGAGGACCGTCTAATAATCCTCCTCGTATATCGAAAATACGCATTTTTGGCGCCAATTCTAACGGACACGTCACTCTGAATGTATTCGTGCTGTTTTGCAAAAATGCACTCAAAAACTAATGGTCG